AAAATATCATCCAATTAAATTTATGATATGAATTAACCAATAAAATAAGAACTAAATATTCATATCATAACAATATTAGAACAGGGGGAAAAAGAAAAAAGTATTTCTATTGCAGAGCAAGCTGTTAGACGATTCTCCGAATCATGGCTCTTCGAGCCTACGGAAGATGTTTCGCAATCTCCAATAAATTCTAACAATATTCCAAAACAGATAGTGCAACAATGTGATGAGTCAGAGACTCGTGGCTATGCCACTGATACCTCAGTATCTGATATAATCGATAACACTTTAAATTCTAACAGCATCCATGAGAAGTCTAACACATCTAATTCTAATATATATCAGAATTTGGTAATCCCCATATCTCTTGCAGAAACTATATTAATATCATTAGATGAGAAGGAAGAAAATGAATTCCTGGATAAAAAGCATAGAGAAACGATTAGTAAAGAGACAATTCAAAAGATTAAAGAGAAGAAACTTTGAGATCAAAAAACAATCATAACTTCCCAGAATACCGTTCCTATTATCTTCCGTGAACAAGGCTTTATCCAGGAAATATCTGCAGGTAACGATGCATCTCCATCTATCCAAGACTATAACTCCATATCTCCGGATCATGTGACTGAAATTTCACTGACCCAAAATTCGAATCAGGTCAGCAAAAATCATGTAAGTGATATAACTATACTTTCTGTATCAAGAAGTAAAACTTTACTAAATTTGACCACCTTATATCAGAAAGCTTGTAATGCAAAAAAACAAGCAATAAAGGCCAATCAAGATGAAATTTTATGCTGGTACCATTACGTTATTGAGTTCGATAATTAAGTTAAATATATTATAAAAAATAAGCAGGTTGATGAGAAAAAAGCAAAAGGACAAATCTACAATTTTATTATTGCACAGCTTGATACTAAATGTAATACATTACAGAAGCAAACAAAAAGAGCTAGAAAAATTTACAGCCTATTCGAAAAAATAGGTTTAGACAAGATCCAATATATTAAATTATATAGTGCAAGTGCTATTTCGAAATTTACTAATTCTCAGATTCAAATGATTATAGATCACTTTACCAAAAAATCTGATATAGAATTCACTGATGAACAGAATAATTCTTCAGACAATTTACCCGAAGCTAAGATAAGTATATCTATTGATCAAGATTCGGAATTACCAGAAGCTTCGGTAAATGCATCTACTAGAACCAAGGTAAGTGATATGAAAGTAAATGATAATAAATCACAGTCCTTAATTACTGCTTTATCCGATGATGAGCCAGAAAATTTCTCTGATAATGATGAATTCACCAATAATAACGAAGAAGATGAGAGTTTCTGTGGTTTTTCTGATGACAATGATGAAGGTTATTATTATGATTTAAATATTGGCGAAACTTATACAAAATCGAACCGTTCAATCTATACCTATTAAATACAGAATTTCTTGCTTTGCAGACAATAGACATTTATAAACGATGCATTTATACCAATGTATCCAGCATCTGTATGCCTATATATTTTATTATTACAATAAATCGAATATAAGTATATTTTTTATTGCACGTTGTTTTTGATTCAAATATTACCGTGTTCCATATCTGACACATAAAATCTATTTTGAGTGTATTACAAATATATGATTTAATTTTCCAGCAATAGGAATGTACGACACTCACCATTTGAGATCATCCGGTCTGAGATAGACAAATCCAAGATATGCAAATCTGAGGCATATGTATTCAGTCTCACGGAGTGAGGATGCTATCGCATCTAATTATACTACTTTTACGTAAAAAAGTAAATGAACGTCCATAGATTTATACCATTAAAACATGGTTGAAACAATGTTGAAGTGTGGTTGGAAAAGCAATAAATTATACAGTATCAAGCACATATATCTTAATATAATCATAGATATATGGTTAAAGTATGGTTAAAGTACTGCCGAAGTATGATTAAAATACTGCTGAAGTACTGTTAAAAATACTTAAGATACACTTATAAAAGCAACAAAATCCCACCTTTTTGCAGTCTATTTATTATATTCATTGTCAGGATAAATATCGTAGAGGCAAAGTCTCATTGCTCTGCAATAAATATGGTTGAATGTAGAGATGGCGCAGCAAGTATGTGATGCTTATTTGTCACCTGTTGCAATACGTTGCAACTCCAAAATTTTATAAGCTGCAACTAGTTGCAACTAGATGATGCTTTATTTGTCACCACGTTGCAACAGTTGCTGCGCCATCTTTAGTTGAATGGACCGATGCTCAAATATGTATCCTCATCAATGAGCATAGAAATAGAAATGAAGAATATCATAATTTTGGAAGGAATCGAATCAGATTTTGGAATAACATCGCAACCAAAATTAATCAAGAACATAATACAAGCTTTAATGGACACCAATGTAAAGAAAAGTTTATGAATCTTGTTCAGGATTACAATGTAAGTATAGTATATTAAGGCTCAAAAAGCTATTGCTTCACAATAGATTTTTTTCCAAAATTTTTTTGCTTACATCTTAGCTATTATGACTAATAATTTATGTCAATTAGTTGATGTGCAATTATATGTCAGGGAATCGAAGAGCGTGAAGAAGTCGAATGGGTGCGCAATATTTTGATGAATTCCATACGCATTTCTGGAAGAGGCCTGAAGATGAATTCGATAGAATTCGTACTATTAATACATCAAACTGTAGGTGAAATAGAGATGTGGAAAGCACAACACCTGCACCATCTATTGAGGAAGTTTCATCGATACTGAATAGAAGTCACTGTGAATCTTCCACTGGTCAAAGAAACCAATCAGCATTTCCAATCTGAAAAACTCCCAGCAGAAGAGACGAAACTACTAATCGAGATAATGTAAGTAATTTGAGTAAATATTTAGGTAACAATATAAGTAATATGGGTGGAAATTCAAGTAATAACACAAATGATGTGAGTGGAAATTTAGGTGAAAATTTAGATAATGCTACATCTTCATCCGAGTTGGTAAATATTACCTCGAGTCTACCAGTACGACCCCAAAAGTTCGGGCCACGTGATGTTGTCGATCATCTCCGGCTTTCTGATCCATTAGTAAAACGATGTATGATGTCGGATCACGTGATTATAAGATTCCAACCAATAGTATACAAGCATTATAGAGATAGAGTTAGTATGA